TGATGATAAACATGATGAACCGCGTGTGGAAGAACTTCTATAACAATGCACTATACCAAACGCTTGTAGATTGATTATCAGAATTCCACCGGCTTCATGCTTGTCTATCTAACCATAAAATTGGCCAGTTCATTGTCACGTCAAGAAGATTATCGCTCTTCAGCCCAGCAAATGTACTAATGAACTTTTTGCCTTCACTCTGACAAATTTCTTCTAGTGGCCCTCCTCTGCTTCTACCCCTTCTTTGTATGGTAAGGTAGGTTCCAGAACCTAAAGGCAATACTGTCAGTTCCGAATTTGCTAATTCGCATCTATTCTATCATGGAATGTTGTCTTTAGGCCCTGGGATGTTGGCAAGTTCGACAGTACGTTTGTCCTCCGGAGCTTTAAGGGCAGCTATTAAGATAGGTACTAGAGGGGTTTATAGAGGACGGGGGGGAGGTGCCCACTTGTACGCTTATGCCAAAAAAGGAAGAAATCCGTCAAAAACGAACAAGAATTTAATCATAGCGCAAGGACGATCAGCGGCTAAGATTTCGGAGGTATGGACGAGTTTACGCGGCGCGTTTGGTGGCACCATGCCAATCCATGCTCCAGTCGAGTTGCTCCAGTTGTGCCGCTGCTGGCAACACAGCTCGTCCAAACTACTAACAAAATTATTGAGTGGGCCGTTTTGGGTTCATCCAGAAACTACAATCGATATGAATGCCATTTTCAAGAGCTTTCGCGCTTAGCTTAGCTTTGTCCTAAAACATTTTCTCATAGCTTTTTCAAAGCTTTGAATGCGGTATACTCGATGAGCAAGTTGGCATGACTTTCTTTTTCTAGCTTTAAATAGACCTGAAAGTAGCGGGAACAGTTCAAGATATTAACGATGCACTTGGCCTAGATTCGCAATAAATGTGCTCAGAAGCAGTAGTTCGAAAAGTTATTGTAACGAAAGCGAGAGCCTTGGGTATGATGAGTGGTGGTCGGATATCGGACGTTGCCACCGATTAGCCAAAAGTTCTGATTGAGGCACTCGTGCGTAAGACCATAGAGGAGGTTCTGCCCAACCTGGGCGTATATGGTTTGTAGAGCCAAGCTATACGGAAGTAGCTGGAAAGTCCAAAAAATTTGATAGGGGCGTGCCGCGACAAATCGTCCATCAAATTGTAGCTTGTTTTATGTGATAAAAGCGACTCGTTTTTCTACAGATTTGCGACGTACAATAAAGAGCGGATTCTTCTCTACAGTCCGAAGCTTTGCTGAATAGCTCGACGGCGATGAAGCTCTACAAACTTTGCAAAACTTAAACTGTGCTGAAGGAGGGTTATGGCAACTTTCATAAGGTCAGCGGCTGGCCATGTTCTTCCGTATAACCAGGAACTGTTACAGTGGAGAAAGCAGTCTTAACATTACGCCAAAATTCACCAAAAACTCCAAGACATGTGTCCAGCATTCCTCATTATAAAGGAACGGACACATCCTGAAAGGTGTCTTGAACGCACATCGCACCGCCAACCCTTCACAAGTTGGACCAGCTGGAACTTCAGAGTGATTCTGCGAACATCTTACTTAGTAGACCTTTGGTCTATCTACTGTCAATTTCTGACGATCTCGATAGCTTCCTTGAAGAGAAATACATCAAAACCCAACATGATGCTAAAACGACCTTCCCTCAGTTCATCGCCTCCAGAGCTCCAGCATTCCAACAAACGTACCCAGTTGAACGGTTCTTATAGAAAAGATTCGCGCATTCGAATGGTTTTTTAATCAACTCGAAAGGTTTAGTTTAAGCCGAGATACGTGCATTTAAAATTCGGGGTCGGAAAACGACAGAACTTTCTGAAACGCCTAATACAATGTTCCTCTGCTAAAAGGTCTTCAAATGGAGTCCTTATCACTGGCCTGACGTTCGTTTCTCTCGTTTGGGTTTTCGGTTCTTCTCCCTAATGTTCCGTCAGAACAGAAACATTGGGGAGAGGAGGCCAGTGGCGGTTTGAAGGACGTCTCTCAGCCCTTGAGCCACGTTTATACCTTTGAGGAAGACGATCGTGGAGATGTCAGGCTACTAATAAAGTCTACCTAGAAACCTCGTTGGCAGAAGAGGAACATTATAAGAGGCTCTACGAGAGGCTGGAGTTTGCTTTCGGTGAGTAGTTGTCCAGCATCTGGAACTCTTCTGTTATAAAGTTAAGGGTTAAGAGTTTATTGGGATAGAAACTTGGTATACTATATCATGCGAAAAAAAACTGTTTTGTGAAAGCTGGGCATTTCCTGAAGACCTCCCTGGTCAGGGGCTGCGGGTAAAATGCAAGCTGAGGAGTCGTTTCTAGCGATGCGCCTTGTATTAAGTTGTTGCAAAAGTCCTTGCGCATTTTCTTGTTCACCTTGCAAAATCTTTTCAGATCGTTTTGAAACATTCACTGTTAAACGCATGTGAGCGGTCTCTCACAGCATTTCTGTCGTAGCATTTCGCAGCGTTTGAAGCTTAAAAATCGCCTTTCACTGAAGGTATGTTCGACTGCTCCTGCCTTTATAAGCCCACAAAGTGCGTCGATTGAAGCGAAGCAGTAGGAGGCCTACGTGTTGTGATGGACCTCCAGACTATCTTTCACAACATGCCAATTATTTGGTTGCCGAAGTCCAGATACTTGAGAAAAAACCACAAATCTGGTCGGCCTGCCACCCTCAGTGACGAGTGTATTCTGAAGTCGATTGGAGGGAGTCCTTAGTGCAATGCACGGTAACTGGCGGAGCTTTTTCAGTGCTATCAGAACACAAGAGCCGCTCAATACTGCCTTAAAAAGAAGTGGAATTAAAAAAACTGAAAGGATATCTCGCGGTCTGGCAGACCACAGGCTATTAGGATGGACCACAGGCTATTAGGAGGAAGTTTTGCATGGACATTTTGATTTGCCGCCTGTCTCTCGCTTGATCCGCCAACTTTGTTGGTGGTAACAAGAAGTGGGATCCTGTCGTAAACCGCACGCGAAAGAAAGAAAGCACGACTGGCTCGGATGCGTAGAACAAAGGATTGCTGTGCCGAAGTGCCTCTTGGGAGGCAACTTTGAAAGCTCATGAGGCTGCAAATGTTTCGCTCACGGAGAGCTGCTGCCAACGAAGTCCACTGCTATTGGTGAACAATAATGTTAGCAAGTGGATTGGTTTCCCGGCATGGTGCCCGGAAAATCTGAGAAACTTTACTTTATGTCGGCAACGCTCGCCCACGAATTACGAAGAAGGTCAGGAAAAGGTCTCCAAGCTCGTTATAGAATGATCTGACCCACTTAGTGTGTACAGCAAACCTGGTAGAGACAGGGCTACCATACGCTCTGTTGCCGTCGAAGGTACTGAAATAGGGGCAGTTCGATGATCCGGACCTACTCGGAGTCAACCTCTTTGAGCTTTTCGCCCAAAGACTCGGGATTTCTGAACGGCCGGCAACCTGAAGTTGCCTGCTGAAGAGCAATGTTTCGACGATTATGGTGGTGTATGTATTCAACAATTGCTGGCTGCACTAAAGAAGAAAAACAATTTTGAAAAAATTTGCCAAATGCGCAAATATTCCTACAACCTAATACATGATCGCATTCAAGACGCGTATAATAAATTGACTTCTGAATGTGTCTGAGCTTCACATAACACTGTGAGTAGTCCGGCTCAGGCGATTTAATACTTTATCCAGGCAAATGTGACACAGACGAAACAGCTCTGAAGGATTTGAGGAAAAAGACATCCCGTGCGAATCAAATTCATGATTTGGGCCGCAGAGCAAGGAGCGGCTCTACTTCTCTCTTTTGCATGCAAAACCAATTTTTTTGCCATAGGACTGCATGTGTGGAGCGGTTATATTGGACTCCCACCACCCAGAGGGAGAATGGTCGTAAAGGCACGGATGTCCATTCGACATGAAGATTTTCAGAGTGCTGGAAGCGGTAGCTTTGCCTCACGCAGCGTCTACAGAGTGGCGAAAAATTACGTGCGCCATAAAAAACGTTCTAACTTTATTTTTGGTCCATAAAAATCGAAGGAAATTGATTTTATAAAACAGCAAACTCTAACATTCAATAATTATAAAAAAGTATCGAAGTGGCCGCTGTCAGTTTTGATATAGATCTGAATTAGTTTCGACATCGAGTCGATGGTGCGGCGAAGCTGGAGAGTCCTCTGGTTTGACGAAAAATTCTCCCATTTAAGCAGCTAAAAACTCCTAAATCACCATCAACTTTTTTGCTCAACTCTTGGGAACATTTGTAATTGGAAAATACCTGCAAGAATTCCGTTCGCTGAAAGTTTGATGATTTGGAGCAGTATCAGTGCTTTGGGCAACCCTCCATTGATTTTTATCGATAAAATCATGGAAATCAATGCGAAGATATATCATGAAGAGGTCTTCAAGAAAGCTCTGGTGCTCTGGAAGCAGAGTCACAACAATGTTGTCTTTCTTGTCTATGAACAAAAAATAAAGTCAGGATATTTTTTGTGGCGCACGTAATTTTTCGCCACCCTGTAGAGCTAGAAGCTTCCAAGGAGTGATCTGCAGGGGACTGTCAATTATCTCTAGCTCTCGCATCATGAGGCATCTTTTTAAACTGCTTCTAGTTGGAAATTTGGCCTTCAGTTATAGCCTTAGGTCGAATGCAGTGATAAGAAATAAAGACTGAGCTACAGGCTCTCTTCTCTTGACAATAAGGGACGGTGCTACGCCAATAGTGTATCCTCGTGAGTGGAAAATTTCCCAAGGAATGACGAGATCAGAGAAGATGACGCAGTGGCCGCAAGCGTTCCTTGGCATTTGTATAGTCAACTCGTGACGCATTCCAACCAAATAGCTCTGCAAGAGTCTTCAGCTGTCTCACTGAACTGGAGATCTTCCAGCAGTTTTGTAATGTTTGTACGTTTTATTGAGCTGACAAAGACTGATATAATGAGATTAATAACTAAATAAAGAACATAAAGCACGCATTGATAACAAAATGAAATATTGCAGAACGCCCATGGCCTACTGGTCCTCCTCAGATCTTAAAGTTGCCACTGATCTCACGTTCGATCGACCATGGATCTTCGGCGACAGGTATATGCGCCTCGACCATAGAGAAGCACCGTTGAACCTGAATCCTTTAGTTTACAGATTGTATAAAGAAAAATACTACCGCACAATAAAAATTACTGCCTCACACCTTCAAAAAGTTTTCTGTTGTTTTAGGCGATGGAAATCTTTACCTTTCAGAGATAGGCTAATCATTACCGGTCTAAGAATTTGGCAGTGTATTATGGTAAGCCTCACAACACAGTACGTGCTGCGGCTTGTCCCCGTCTCTGCCTTCTTGCCGCGTTACGGGCCACCTGTCGGGCACTCAATACCTCCGCTTAAGAAGATCCGTCGCACTCCCCCTCAGACGAAAAATGAAACGAATACGACTCGTCCATTCTGTAACGCACACTGCGAAGCCTATTTGAAACCCATAGTTCAGATGGAGTGTATTGAAAAATTACTGTGTTTTTGTAACGACCATGCCTTTTATGTGCAATTTTGTGAATAAGGAAGATGAGGCGAAACTGCTGCCGCGTGAACGGTCAGTGAGATCAAAGCTAGCCCAGGCTGGAAACGCCTCTCCCTTCAAAAATTGAAAAGTAGCTTCCGCGCTCATCAGGCGGAGCAAAAACTCATTCGTTCAAGACCCTCTCTCGATTATATCGACCCAATACGCACTAAAACACTGTCACGATTCTGGACAAAAATAGAATGCACGGTGCATTTTACAAAAGCGATTGGTAAAGTTCATAAATGTTCTCGATCGATTGTGCGGATTTACAGGGTGTCCCATAAATACTGCAACACGTTTCTTAACTTGTAACTTCTCTCAAAGTGGACATATCTTCAAGTGGTCATACACAATTCTTAGCCAGTCATTAAGATGTTGAAAGGAATGACATTTATTCGATAAGTCTCCCTGTCGCTGTGAGTATGGCTCCCAGTTGCTTCGAACACAACTCTAGTGTTTCCCGCATGGCATCCTGGAGTGCCTTCTTCGAAACTTTCTAGAGAAAAGGCTTCAGCTCCTCTATTTGGATGCATTGTTTAGTGCAGGCTCTGTCCCTAATATAGCCCAAATAGGATGGTCCAGCAGGTTGAAATCGAGAGATATGAGAGCCATTCGTTTGAGGATGTGAAATCGGGAACAGTATCATGAGACCAGTCCTAAACAATTTTTGCCCCTTATGCAGAAGCTGGTTACCTTTGAAAAGAACGTCATTCCTCTTGGAGAACTTAGATACCTTAGTAACAGATGGTGCACTGAAACATTCGTTAGCTAGGTCTGTATCGAGTTTTATTCGCTTTTCAACAGACAGTTGTGGTGAGCGACCGGTGATTGAGACCCTTGCCCAAATCGTGATAAAGATTGGCTGCTGCTTGTGGCGAATATTCCTTTCACTCTCACTGGCTTCCACAAGACCTCATGCGGGCATCCTCGAAGTTTGAAGATTGTAGCTCTGCTCCATGTGAGGAATTTTGTCGTCGATGAAAACGGTGCCCGCGTAATCGCCATTTTCGGCCCTCGACACCAGCTCTTTGAACTTTTTGTCTCTGCTGTGCTCCTCCCGTTGGATTGAGCAGTGGTGCTTATGCAACTTATAATGGACTGTGAGCAGTTGTTATCTGACCACTCTCTACATGGCTGTGTTTAGAAACTCCAGCGTTCTGGTCACCTTTCTCGAGCCAACCCGGGTATTGCAGTCGTTTCGCTTCTTCATGCTTTTCCTGAGATCCAAGATGTCAGAACTTGTGGGGCGGCCACAACAAAGACTACTTTTATTGGTCTTCTCTTTAGTGCACGGTAGGCCGCGGAGCGGTTAAAAATCCAAAGAAGCGCGATGTTCATCACCGGATGTCCGACCTAGCTGTATGAGGGATTAGGACCTCTATTGAGGTTTAGGTGCACCATGAGATGTACAACGAATGGTAAGCCGTGCACTTTAAGGTTATTCACAAGAGGTTATAGGAAGTGAAGGTATGCCAACCTTGGGAAAAAGACTACAGACACCCACACAATTGAAGCTCAAAATGTGTTGCAGTATTTATGGGACATTATATATGCTAGCAGATAACTGCTACACGTGCGCTTGTGATGCGTTCGTCCTCATTATAGATCACCGAAAACAGGTCTCGCAATGCGGTCTCCCTTATCTTCTACTCGAACCGTTTTGCGCCTCATATATAAGCATTAGCAGCATGCCTACTTCTGCCAGAAATAATTCGTAGGTGATTTCACAACACTGCTAATTTGCTCAAATAACTCGATCCTTCTTGAGAAACACAATTGTCTTTGGAACGCGTCAGCTAACCTCTTTAGCTTCTCCATGACAGACGATTCGTAGAGCCGGTCGTTTTGAACTGCATGCTCGGATACGGCTTCTTTCTCCATTCATGCATGGCGTCCATTCGGTCCAGTGGCTCCATTCGCCGAAGACTAGCCCTGAAATCTTTATATAAGTTTGAAAATACCATAGTATATCATAGTCATCCATAGTATAATGGCAATACGGCGCCTAAATGGCAATGTCCTTTGCAGTTTGGAATAGTATCCAGCTGCTGTCACAAACGCCGGTTTATGCCTTAGAATCTCATGAAGGCCTTGCAGAGAGAGAGAAAGAAATGTGCGTCTGCGTTTCGCTCATCACCTACGCTCCTATACTCCTTTTTCTACGTTTCTCGACTTGGCGCCCATTGCATCCTGTATTGCCTCTCGAAAAGACATCGAACTTTCAGAAAAAAGACCACTCGGTTTCGGCGGTTCCTATTATTTGTTCTTGCACTTGCGAGTCAATTACTATATTTCTGCGCCGTGGATTGTGAATTAAATCTCAAAAAATAAAGCCAAAACTTTTGATCTCCGTTTAGCTCAAAACTAATACAGTACTCTCTAATTTTTGCATCTTTTAATGTTTTCGCGATGATATGCTCGAAAACTAGAAGAGACTCCATGCAGATCTAGCTGAAGCGACCCAAACTCAGTTGCGTGGTAAAGGCACAACCCAGGCAGGAGTTGTGTGAACTTTTTGGTCTGTAGAATAGGCCGCGAGCGGATAACCACAGATGTGAAATTCACGTGCATGAAAGCACCCGACTAAGGCGCTATGGCCTTGCAAAATTAACTGCAGCAGGTGCACTGCTCCGCGCTCGCAGCAGGCTGTTGTCTGGAGCCCTTTTATGGCTGTTGTCAGAGTCCGTGATCTTTCATGTGAATCGCGCGATTCGCGCGAATCGCAAAAATCGCAAGTGCCCCATTTGAACATTTGAAACACTGAATATGAAACAAGTAGAATCATGAACAGTCGTCATTCAAATCACCATCAAGCAGAAATGGCGGCGGGATTGGAGAGCACCTCGCAGTATTGATCGGATTCTGTGAACCTTCGCGCAACGGATCGCGCACTCTGACACCAGCCTTAACTGCTGCGCTCTTTAGCCTTATACAGTGCGCGTCAATTGTATATGCCACCCCCTGATTTTTTCAGTTTTCTGACTTATTTGGAAATTTCGTAAATCGGCATAGCAACCATCGTTTTCGGCGTGTCGGAAAACTAAGAATGGTGTTGTTTGATTTTGGTTAACGCGTGGATTTGAATTGCTCTGTTCTTTTGAAGAAAATGGGCCGCGTCAATTGCTTATGCCATCCTAAAGTTTCTTCAGAATTTCTCATGTCTCTAACGCTATTCAGCTACGGTGTGCATGCATACAAATGAGGAAATCCTCCACTTATGCAATGCACACAAATGGTGGAGCATTTATAACTAATTAGTTCGGAATATTAGCCCTTATACTGGACGGTAGCAGCATGAAAACGCTTTATCAGAGAAAGAGCTGTGTGCTCACTTTTGCGATCGCTCCTGCTGCTTATTGTAGAACTCATCGAGGAGTGTATCCAGGCAAAACTGGGGAAATTGAAGTGCTCAAGGAGCTCTTAAATTCTCATTTTCCCGCTTCGAATCCGTGGTCAACTTTATTTGTGGTCTCGGCTCCCTGCGAAGCTCGAAGCGTTCACGCTCACAAAGTCTCTGTTCAGAGAGAATATGAGTTGCACTCACAATCCGCGTACCCATCGCCGAACTTTGTCGGATTCTCTCTGGAAAAATTTTCGTACCGAGCGAGCGAAAATGATGACATGGGCCAGTTGTAACTTGAACGGGACACCGAAGTGGTGGCATGGGCCATCATTGCATCGCCTTGATAAGAAAACTTCGATCGAGTTCAGTGATGGGTACCAGACGGATAGTAGGTACGAG